CTGCTAAGTAAATGAATGTAGTATTCAGGTATTTCTAATTTAACTACCAAACCCTGCGATGTCATGATAGTAAAACAAAGATAATATCGTTCCTTTTTCTGATAAATAATGCACATTTTTCATTTTACAATTTCATCCATTCATTCACTCATTCATTCATTTAGTTACGGAGTGCACGAGTAGGTGGAGGGGTTGAAGGGGAGAGAGAGAGAATCTTGAGCAGGATCCATGCTCAGTGCTGTGTGGGGCTTGATCTCACGACTCTGAGACCATGACCTGGGCCAAAATCAAGAGTTAGATGTTCAACCAACTGAGCCACTCGGGCGCCCCAACAATTTCATTTAAATTGAGGTTAAATTATATATGGAATAGTCTCAACAGAATTAGCAAATTAAAATAAGGAGCCCTGTTAAATTTCAGTTCAAACAAATTACAATTTCCTTAGTATAAACGTGTCCCAAGTATGGAATGGGAAATGTATATATGTGTACATTTTTTCATTATTTATCTATAACTCAATTTTACTGGGTGCCTTATTTTATCTGGCAATCTTTATACAGAAAAAATGCAGTTCCTGAATCCATATATTTGAACAAATTTTCGTAAATGTTTATAGCCATACAACCAATACCCAATCAAGATACAAAACATTTCCACTACTTTCAGGTTCCCTTTTGTCCCTGCCAATCTTCATTCACTCCACAGGCAAACCCAGTTTTCTTTTGATTAGTTCCCCCTATTGCTAAATTTCATATAAATGGAATTACACAGTCTCTTTCCTGTCTGGCTTCTTTCATTTAACATCTTTTTAAAATTCATGTTGCAGGAGTCAGTGGTTTGTTCTGTTTGATTGATAATACTCCATTGTAAAATATAGCAAACTTTTAAAATCTGCTCTCCTATTGATAGACACATGGCTTGGTTCTAGTTTGGAGCTATGAATGAATAAATATATAAAGTTATAAACATTCTTGTACAATTTCTTTTGCCAATGTTTTCATTTCTTTTGGGTGAATACCTAGAACTGATCTTGCTAGTTCATGGGATTTAATTTATAAAAAACTGAAAACTACTTTCCAAAGTAGTTGTGTCAATTTATATTCCTACCAAGAGCAGGCAAATTTGTTACTCCATATCCTTGCAACTTTTACTGTTGTTAGCCTTTAAATTTTTTGACATTTCATTGGCTTTGTTAATTTTATTGTTTGCCCATTTTCTATTTCACTGATTTCTGCTATGATGTTCAGTATTTCCCTCCTTCTGCTTATAGTTTTTATATGCTTTTCTTTTTTTCTAGTTAAGATGGAAACAGATCATTGATTTTTAAACTTCCTTCTTTTCTAACATAGGCTTCTAAAGCTATAAATTTCTAAGCACTGTTTTATCTGCATTCCACACATTTTCACATTTTATGTTTTTGTTTTTATTCAGTTAAAAATAACTGCATTATTTTATTTCCAAATATTTGGGACACCTCTGTTAGTGATTTTTAACTTAACTCCATTGTGGCTAATAGCCAAGCAGATAGTCTACTTTGTTGAAAATGTCTATTCTACTACTATTGGGTGGAGGCGTCTATCAGCATCAATTTGGTCCAAATGGTTTTTGTTCAAATCAATATTTTTGTTGACATTTATCAGTTGCTAAGAGGTTCATTAAAATCCTCAACTGATTGTCTGAAAAGTTTCTCTCCAGTATGCTACTTCTTTTAAGGTCTATTTTGTCTTATATGAATATAGCCACTTGTTTTCTTATGCTTACTGTTGGTATGTTCTACTTTTCTCCCATTCTTTTACTTTCATCTTGTGTCTTTAAAGTTTAACTCTTGGGATGCCTGGGTGGCTCAGCGGCTGAGCATCTGCCTTTGGCCCAGGGCGTGATCCTGGAGTCCAGGGTTGGAATCCCACATCGGGCGCCCTGCAGGCCACCTACTTCTCCCTCTGCCTCTCTCTCTCTGTGTCTGTCATGATAAGCACATAAAATCTTTAAAAGATAAATAAATAAAGTTTAACTCTTATAGACAACATATGGTTGGACCTTTAAAGAAGTCTAGTTCTTTTGACTGGAGTGTTGGATTTATATTTAAGTAATTACTAGTTTGGCTGAATTTAGGTCTGCCATTTTGGTATTTGTCTTATATATTTTTAACCTATAATTCCTCCTTTCCTGATTTTTGATAAATCATCTCTTTGAGAATTCAACTTTTTTTCAGTATTCAATTTTAATTCCTCTAATTCTTTTTTTTTACTTCTACCTTATTTTTTTTTATAGCAGTTGCCAAGGGATTTCAATACATAACATACATAATAACCTTACCAGTCTATAGTTAGTATTCCACAACTTTTGAAAATGTAAGAACTGCCACTGTTTAATTCCCTTTAACCCCTGAAACTTGTATTATTGTTGAAATATATCTAACTATACACCAGCGTACCATGCTAAATTGTTAGTTGTATCTACTATCTATCAGAGAGAGAGAGAGAGAGCACAAGCAGGGGGAGTGGCAGGCAGAGGGAGGAGAAGCAGGCTTCCTGACTGTAAGCTTAGTCCAAGACCCTGGGATCATGACCAGAGCCAAAGGCAAATACTTAACCAACTGTACCACCCAGGCACCCTTGTCAGTCATCTTTTAAAAACATTAAGTGAAGAAAAGATTGATAGTCTTTTATACTCACATATGATTTCCTTCCTTCTAACTGATGTCATTTACCTTCAGCCTAAAAAACCTCCCTCAGCTTTCCTTGTAGGTCTGCTAGTGACAAATTCTGTTTTCATGAAGATTGCTTTGCTTCATTTTTGAAGGATGCTTTACTGGATATAGAACTCTGGATTGATTTGGTTTGCTTTGGTTTTGCTTTTTAATTTCAGTACTTTACAGTTCTCTTTGTGTAGTCTCATAACCTCCATTGTTTCTGAGGTGAAGCAGCCAACATTTATTATTCCCCTGTGTATAGTAGGTTCCCTACTTACACTCATGGTAGCTTTTAAGATTTTCTCTTTGGTTTTCATCAGTTTTAACTACGATGTATTAGGTGTTCTCTCTGTATTCTGCTTAGAGTTCACTGAGCTTACTGGATCTATGCATTGATAAGTGTCACCAAACTTGGGAAAATTTTACCTTTACTTACTCATCTTTTTTTCTGTCCTCTATTTTCTCTCCTCCTTCTGGAAATCCAATTACATATGCATTGGACTGCTGAATATTGCCCCGCATGGCTTTAACACTCTGTGCTTTTTTTCTTTTTTATTTCCCCCTTTTTTTTTTTTTTAAAGATTTCATTTATTTATTCACAAGAGACACACAGAGAGAGAAAGAGGCAGAGACCCAAGCAGAGGGAGAAGCAGGCTCCATGAAAGGAGCCTGACATGGGATTTGATCCCAGGTCCCCAGGATCAGACCCTGGGCTGAAGGCAGGCACTAAACTGCTGAGCCACCTGGGCTGTCCCCCCAACCTTTTTTTATTCTTTAGTCCTCAGATAGGATAATTTCTATCCATCTGCCATCTGTATGCTGCTGTTAAATCCAACCATTTGGGTTTCTATTTCCATTTCTCTGAGAGCACCCCTCTATATACATTCATTACAACCGTTTTTCCTTTTCATCTTGGAGCATAGTTCTACTAGCTGCTTTAAAATTCGCATCTGCTAATTCCAAGTTCTGGATTATATTAGGATCTTTCTGTGTTTTTTTTCTCTTTTGGCCATAAATCACATTTTCCTGTTTCTTTAATGCATTATTTTATCATGTTCTTCTCACCATTGATATGCTAAAGAGACTCATTTTGTTATCACACCATGGAAGTGTTAAGATTTGTTCCAGCTGGCAGTTAAATTATTGACTACCCATCTTGATTTGTGGAGAACTGACTTTACATTAAAGGTTTTGTCTTGGGGCACCTGGGTGGCTCAGTCGGTTCGACATCTGCCTTCAGCTCAGGTCTTGATCGCAGCGCCCTGGATCCAGCCCCGCATGGAGCCCAGGTCAGGCTCCCTGCTTAGCAGGGAGTCTGCTTCTCCCTCTCCCTGCTCTTGTTCCACTTTTGTGCTCTAGTTCACTCTCATGCACTCGGTCTGTCAAATAAATAAAATCTTAAAAAAAAAAAAAAGGTTTGGTCTTAATTTCAATGGCAAATCCTTAGTCCTGGGCAGTCTTTTCTAACACACAGCCATTCTAGGTATTTGACAGAATGCCTAAGGTGCTTACCAAGCCTTCTAACTTGTCAGAATTCAAACTTGAAATTGTTTTCTCTTGCAATACAGACCAACAAGCTCTGCTCGGATTTTCCAGACTTCTATCTCTGGCTTTCCACGAGGTTCACGGAGACTTCCCTGTACAAGTGCAATTTAGGAGTTAGCCAAAGAGTTAAGAGATTTATATGCAGATTGGAAAGCTGGCTTCTCCTTCAGTGCCACCTTCATTTCTAGAATTTCCTCAATTTACAGCCCCACTAGAAGCCCCCAATTTCTTTGACACCTCAAGCCAGTAAGATTGTAACCTTCTCTTGCATTCTAGCCATCCTTTACCAGATTGGGGAATGTACTGAGGGGAAAAAGCTATGTATAAGCACAGTCCTCAGACTGCTTTTGGTCATTTCCCAGTGTCTTTAGACAGTTATATTTTGTCCAGAGTTTACAATTGGGAGGGCTGTACATTACAAGCTATTCAACCATTATCAAAACTAGATGTCTTTCTTTTTATAATTCTTCAATGCTCGCTTTAATGGCTCAAAAGAAAGCAACACAGAACTGGCATTTAAATGTCCTTTGCTCTCTCCTCTTTTGTGTAAAAGACTAAAAATGGAATATTTCATATATAGTAAAATATATTTTATCTCAAATGCATTAAGTCAGGGGCACCTCGGTGGCTCAGTTGGCTGAGCATCAGATCCTTGATTTCAGCTCAGCTCTTGATCTCAGGATTGTTAGTTCAAGCCCAGTGCTGGCCTCCATCCTGGGCATGGAGACTACTTTAAAAAAAAGAAAAAAGAAAGAAATCAAAATAATTTTTTTTAAATATTTTATTTATTTATTCATGAGACACACAGAGACATAGGCAGAGGGAGAAGCAGGCTTCCTGCAGGGAGCCTGATGCGGGACTCGATCCCAGGACTCCAGGATCACACCCTGAGCCTAAGGCAGACACTCAACTGCTGAGCCACCCAGGTGTCCCAAAATAATGTCTTGTTAATTAATGCTTCCAGGAAGTAGGAAAGTGTATGTTCAATTTTCAATGAATTTAATGAAATTTAAGCTATGGTTGATTAAGCCACGAAGATATTTAGAGTTAGACCAATAAACTCGCATATAGCAAAGCCATTTCTGTTATGAACTAACAAAAAATATAAGACTCTACTGTCACGAAAAATAATAAACAGAGTGCTATATACAACTGGGAAAATGAATTTGACTATTTGCATACATACAGTGACATACCGACTGAGTTATGTGATATGAAAAATCTTGACTAACCCACTGCCTCCAAACTTAAATTTTTTAAAACTGTATTTTGTAGTCGGTAAGTTTTCCATTTGTCAACTTGAATGTGAAAGATGCTATTTAAAACCAAACAGCAACTGTACATGGCTGGCTGAACATTCATAATTCAACAATTATATAACCTCCAAAATACAGCAGAATATGAACCACATAATTAGGATGTCACTTAAACAAGACAAGGCAATTCAAAAGGATGTCATTTTGTGGCATGTGCTCAGCTGAGCTTTAAGCAAGTAGGACTTATTCTTCCCAACTCTGCTTATATGCAATATGCACTAATACCATCTGCTGTCAAGACAACCCATCTTGTGGCCAGGAGAGCTGACTTTTTTTGTTTTAGAAGTTAAATTTTTTTTTTTTTTTTTTTTTTTATGATAGTCACAAAGAGAGAGAGAGAGAGGCAGAGACATAGGCAGAGGGAGAAGCAGGCTCCATGCACCGGGAGCCCGACGTGAGATTCGATCCCCCATCTCCAGGACCGCGCCCTGGGCCAAAGGCAGGTGCTAAACCACTGTGCTACCCAGGGATCCTGGAGAGCTGACTTTTTAAGAAAGAACAAAGTTCCACATTGTATAAACTTATTTCATAAGTAAAAACTGCTTTTAAACGACTCTGTTTATGAATGCCCTTGCAAGTTTTAGACTTGGTCTGCTCCATGTGTGTGCATCCTGAAAAATCACCAAAATAGTTGCAACAACTGATAATGACATAGGAAAAAAAACTCATTACCACAGGAAACCAAGTACTGTTAAATCAACATCTTTCTTCTTGGTCATTTGCTTTATAATTATTAGGTAAACCAAAAGAACTATACATTATGCAAATATGTGTATGTGCATATATGACTGAAACAAATGAACATCTAACAATAGAAAATGCTCATGAAGTTCATCAACAGGATTCTGAACTATTATCTGGTATGGAAAACAGACTTAGCATCTCCATCTCCAGTGGATGCAAATTGTCTCCTGTGATAATTAAGGAGTGTAACGGTCCTCCCAAGTCCACAGTACTCATTTGCTGCAAAGTGCCTGCTGCAATTTTCTGGTCTTCAGCTCCAACCCTGGCTAAGCCAACACAGAGTGTCTTCTCGGTGACTGCTATTAAGAGAAGAAAAAAAAAAACCTGCCATTCAATTCAGCAAATGCATTATCCTGTCCAACATTAAAACTAACATTAGTACCAAAAATACATTTAAAGAAGCCCCAAATATCTTCAATCTCTTTAGTCACTCATTACAGATATCGATTTATCTAAGGCTTTTCCAAGTTACATGCACTACCTAACTAGTTTAAGTTTTCAGGACTTGATATATTCATACTTTTTACGATTGCATAGCATTTGTCTTTAAGAGTGAACAATGTTTACTACCTGCCTATATTTTTAATAAATTGCTTGAGTATGTTCACATTGACCAAGATATACTAGAAAAATAAGCAGGTTATGAGATAAATACACAGATTTGATTTTTCACTCGGCCACCTAATTAGCTATGTCAAACTTCAGTTTTTTTCACTTTTTAAAATAGAATACTATCTTTCTTAAGTGATAGTTTTAAGGGATAAGATAAGAGACATTAAAGTATTTAGTAAACTACAAAGCTGTGGGGCATCTGGGTGACTCAGGTAATGATCTCCAGGCCTTGGGATTGAGCCCCACATCAGGTTCCCTCCTCAGCAGGGGAGTCTGCCTCTCCCCCTACCCATGCTCTTGCTCTCTTTCAAATAAATAAATAAAATTATTAAAACAACCACCACCACCACTACTACAGAGCCCTGAACAAATAACAAGCATTATGATATTATTTATGCTTTTAAGTACTGATCTTTTCATGGTTTTGTTTAGTTGGGAAAGTTTGTCCCAACTGAACATGATCAAAATGAGGCAAATGATATTCACAAGGATAAGCATCCATACAAGTTTAGGCTTAAGGTTCAAAATTTAGGATACGCAACACCCTTGCAAATTAGTTGTTTCATGACTTTAAACAAGGCCTACTAATGAGAAAGAAATAAACAACATTCAAGAATCTCTTCATGTATCTTTTTTTTCCATTAAGATATAGGTGTTCAAAAACAGGACCTTATAACAGAATGTAATGAGTTTATTAGTGTAAGTTTTTATTTATTTATTCATGAGAGACACAGAGAGAGAGAGAGAGAGGCAGAGACACAGACAGAGGGAGAAGCAGGCTCCGTGCAGGAAGCCTGATGTGGGACTTGATCCCAGGTCTCCAGGGTCACACCCTGGGCCGAAGGCGGCACTAAACCGCTGAGCCACCTGGGCTGCCTAAAACCTGATTTACAGTTAATTTGTGAAAAAGCCTCACTTTCTGGAATAGTATTAATTTTCCTAGAAAGAACTCTCATTATTTTTCCTTTGGTACAACTTTCAGCCTGTGAAATTTAAAAGTGATTTAAAAAATGACAAGAAAAAATACAATGCAAACACACTCACTTTGGTTGTGGTGATGTGTGTTGGGGGGTATATGTGAAGTTATATCATGTACACATCTCAATGCAGCAGTAGGAAACATAAGAAGCCCTTTTAGGGCCTTGAGTACCTGGTTCTTCTCCTCGCATTCGCTGATTCTGAACAATCTCCAGAAGTTGCTGGGCTGCTTGGTTTATACTCATATACCGAGGAGGTTCATAGATCTTCCTTCCTCTGTAAATATAAAACTAGATGCCACTGTTCTTAGCCACGAGATTACATAATACATTTTAATGTAATTATCTCCCCAAGTGTAATAAGTCCACATTCTGTTTGAAGCACTCATGTTACCCACTTTAAGTATACTAAAGCATGAATACCATAATTTTTTAAGTTTAAACTTTTTTTCATTGTTCTACTTCAGCTGTCCTCTGATCCCACTGAAATGTTGGCATAAGTAAAAATCCAACAACTTAATGATAAATCTTCAAATCAAAGTTACTTTTACTTAAAGTGATACCCTAGGCAAAAATAGTTCAAATTAAGTGGCAATTTGTTCTAGATCCTGGCTTAATCAGGTTCTATAGTGTTCATTTTTATTACCATGTTTAAACTATATATTCCTCTTTTCACTTCTTCCTATAAGAAAAGGAAACCAAAGCAGTAAATATCTGAAAATCTTGGAGGATCAGATGTGTTTACTTCTGACGGCTTAAAGCCTACCATGTCTGCCCAACAATCTGATAAAAACACTACTATGTAGCTTACAAAACAGTTCATACGGATTTTATTGACTTTTTTTTTAATTTATTTATTCATGAGAGACATAGAGACTGAGAGAGAGGCAGAGACACAGGCAGAGGGAGAAGCAGGCTCCATGCAGGAAGCCTGACAGGGGACCCGATCCCAGGTCTCCAGGATCACGCCCTGGCTGAAGGCGGCGCTAAACCACTGAGCCACCCGAGCTGCCCTTTTATTGACTTTCAAAATAATTCTCTAAGTCAGCAATGTCCAAGAGAAATATAATGCAAACCACAACATAATTTTGAATTTTCTCACAGCCATATTAAAAAAGGGAAAAATTTTAATATTATTTTACCCATTATATCCAAAATATTAGATTTCAACATTTATACCTATAAAAATTATTATTATTATTTAGATTTTATTTATTCATGAGAGAGAGAGGCAGAGGGAAAAGCAGGCTCCACGCAAGGAACCCGATGTGGGACTCGATCCTGGGACTACGGGATCACACCCCGAGCCAAAGCCAGGTGCTCAACCACTGAGCCACTCAGGTGTCCCAACAGCTATAAAAATTATTAAAGAGACTGTTTTTTTTTTTTTAAAGATTTTATTTATTTATTCACGAGAGACACAGAGAGAGGGAGGCAGAGACATAGAGGGAGAAGCGGGCTCCATCAGGAAGCCCGATGTGGGACTTGATCCCAGGACTCCAAGATCACGCCCTGGGCCAAAGGCAGATGCTCAACTGCTGAGCCACCCAGGCGTCCCAAAAGAGACTGTTTTTATACCAAGTTTTTGACATCTGGTATTTCATACTTATAGCACAAATTCAAATGTTAAATTTTCATTAGAAATATTTTAGTTATTTTATTTTATTTTTATTTACTTATGATAGTCACAGAGAGAGAGAGAGGCAGAGACACAGGCAGAGGGAGAAGCAGGCTCCATGCACCGGGAGCCCGATGTGGGACTCGATCCTGGGTCTCCAGGGTCGTGCCCTGGGCCAAAGACAGGCGCCAAACTGCTGCGCCACCCAGGGATCCCTCATTAGAAATATTTAATCTGTATTTAAATTTCATAAAATTCATGGCTATAAAAGTAGATTTACACATTGAAGTTATTCTAAATATACTTTTCCAATAACTAAGTTGAGTATTATTTGTTGGGCTGGCAGGATCAAGGGGGATAGGGAGGCACCAACAAAATGGCAGCAGATGCCCCACCTTGTGGCTCCCACCTCAGAGCTTTCCCACCACCAGCAGACCGACCGAGGACACGTCATCAGGGAAGACAGGACCTATGCAGGAAACCTGAACTGTACTTTAATTTACCCAGACCCCATATAAGGGCATGAGGAGTTATCGCCCAAGCAGATTCCACCAGTAACATGCCCTAATACCTATCACCCCATAGAGACACACAACCCCTTTCCCCTCCCATTAAAGCCCACTTGCCCTCCCCAGCCCGTGACTTCCCGGCTCTCTCCCTCCCCTGTGGCCTGCGGAACCTCGAGAGAGCACATCCCATTAAAAGCCTATTTTGACCAACTTTTGCCTGGCCTCTCTACTTCAGTTCACTATTAATCGGATTAAACCTTGTTTTTATTAATTAAAATTAAATTATAAATTCAGTTCCTTGGTTACATTAGCTATGTTTCATGTGCTCATTAGTCAAATAAGACTCAGAAACCAAAGTAACTTGCCTAAGGGCACATAACCAGAGGCAGACTCAGGACTCACATCCATGTCTTCTGACTTCCAATTCATTAATTCATTCCGCAAATATTTACAGGTGCCTATTAGGTGCCAACCACCCACCGGTTTCAGTATTGAATCTGTAAGACCTATTGATATTTCTGCCCTATCACATTGCTTATCATTCTTTCATAAGATTAAGTGTTTAATTTTTAACTGTTAATGAAAGCTGATTTTCAACAATCTTTAGAATTCATGTCAGGTAGAATTTATTGTGCAAGAAATTAAAAATAGATTTAAACAGGGGTGCATGAGTGGCTCAGTTGGTTAAGTGTCTGCCTTCAGCTCAGGTCATGATCCCAGAGTCCCTGGATCAAGCCACAGTGGGCTCCCTCCTCAGCAGGGAGTCTGCTTCTCCCTCTGCCCCTTCCCCCTGCTTGTGTGCACATTCTTGCCCTCTCTCAAATCAATAAATAAAATCTTTAAAAAAAAAAAACAGACATAAAAAAATAGACATAAACATTCTCAGATAAGAACTTACTTGATTAGATTCTCCAAAGACTGCTCCTTTATTTTGATGTCTGTAAGAAGCAAAAAATAGTTCTCTTTTAATTAACTACTTTATCCAAAACCCTGTGTGTAAATTTCAGTTGAGTCGCTTAAATTTTTGGGAAACATTCTTCTCAAGTCTCTCAAATGCTCATTTGAGAGCGTATGACAGTCTTCCTTCACACTTGTATCTAGCCAGTGTTTTATTGAAATACAGAGAAGAATGGAAGCTTGTGGTGTGTAAAGGTCATTAGTTAGAACACAAACATGAGGTTGGCCCTGAGACCATCTGAAAGGATCTAATTTCCTCTTGGAAAAGAAGACACAGGAAAGAGTAAGATAAATATTGGCATATACACTACCTAACAGCTAATCAAAATCTTTGTGTTCATTTCTACTAGCTGGTAATTGCATAGACCCAACTCTTACTCTGTTCCTGTTCTTTATTTTTCAGGCACAAGAATATAAGCTTTAATGCATGGAACGTTAACAGAAGAAAATTCTCATATTTTGAAAAGAAACCTTTGCTTTCTTGTGAATGGGTAAGACATGACTAATAACTTATAAATAAGCACTTTAATAAGAAATATTCATACTCTCAACAGCGTTTTCCCAAGCACTGACTACCAGGGATTGGGCTACCACCAGGTCCAGAAGGCATATAATCTCTGCTTCCCTGAAGCTTGAAATGCAAGTGTCGCAAATATTCAATTCCTTACACTTGTTAATCACTGATGCGCAGCTGAACAATTTGGTAAAAGGTAAAAAATTACAAGCACTCTACATCCTCACAGGAACTCAGTACACAACAGCAAGAGCAACAGCTGCTTCCTGTTCTACATGCTAAAAAACAAATGGTTCAGCCAAAGTTTGGTTTTGCAAAAATAAATACAGCATACCTGAAGGGTCTTTTTGATAGACTTCTATAGCTTTCGTAAGTGATTATTAAAGTTGTTCTTATAAAGGAGATTAAACAGTTTCCTAAGAAAATACAGCAGAGGTTAATCCTTTATAAGTATTTGTAAATGTTCTTATAAGCAGCAGTGAATGTATTTTTCAGGTTCAAAATATCATTAATTATTTAAAATTTCCACTTGCCTAGCACATAGAAGAAAAAATGTGTATTGGTTATTGAAAATAGCCTGCAGTACCATTAACAGTAAATGTCAACTTAGACTTCCTTTACATGGCATCTGTTAAGATTTTTAAAAATTTTTAAAAATTCAACACACTTATTAGTTTGTTCATCTTAAGGTTCTGAAATGTTGTGACAATAAAGCTTTTAGTTTAGTATTTTAACTTTTTAAATGGTATGTTTTATAGAACCTGGTTTTAAAAATGAGGAGTGTTGGGGAGAATTTTTACAGGCAAATGCTTTTTGATCAAACTGCATTAAAAGACTGCATTATTGAATATTTAATCTCATACCAGACCTGTCTTAATATTCTTTCCTTTTTTTCACACAGGCCACAATTATTCCTTTCTACTTCTACTTGTTAGAAGGTAAGCATCTTCTATTTACCTTAGAAAGCACCTAGAAATGCAAAGTACCCAGCAGATGCTCCATAAATGTCTACTGAATAAATTCACTCACGTGGCTCTACTACCACCCATCCACCAGCCCATCTTAAACTACTCCTTCAGTAGCATAAGTCCCAATTCCTTCATAAAGTCTGTGTTCACTTCCCCTCAAAAGCTCTTTGTTCTTTGAAATATCTATATAGTTATTATATTTTGTTAATCTCTAATTACAACATGTATATCTTATCTTTCAGAGTACATTTTAAATTCTCTGTAGTTTTCTAACATGGTATATTCTCACGAATCCCTACAGGGTCTGGACCACAGCTGGCATCCAATAAATATATACTAATTTAAATGATGAGAATTCCAGATGATTAAATGATGAGATCTATGGTTTGAGGATCTGGAATCATGATATCTTATACTTCACACCTTGTTCCTGCTTTTGTTAATGGAGCAAGGAAGATAGATTGTTTAACCTTGTTTGTCTTTTCCCAGGAAAGCCAAGAAAAGGGGCAGCTCTTAGAAAGAGAATTCAAGAGCCAAAGTTCTGGTTTGTCTTTCCTGCCTCTCCATACAATAGAACTTAATTGTTCTTTAAACTTTTGTACTTAGCAACTAGATTTCAAAACCCTGAGGGCAGGACGTATTTCTAATATTTCCTTAGTGTTCCACAAAAAAAAAAACACCTAACTCTAAAATGGGCATAAAATATAGCAAGATAAGGTAGGTAACACAGTGGGAAAATGATTTAATATCTCCAAGCCTCAAGTTCATCTGTAAAATAAGATGATCTCCAGAGTCTGTTTCAAATCTGTGATTCTGATAGCATCAATACTGTAGTATTCAGAGAACATCTCTAGAACATACAGAGAAGGGCACTTGGTAAGAATCAACGTTTGATACAGGTGTGCTGAACTGCAGTTAATTGACAGGGTCTTGATGGATAATGGGTAAGATATAGAATGCTGGAGAGGATCCATGAGAGGGCGGGGAGTAGGAGGGGAGTAGCATGAACTATAGTATGCAGGCAGGAATAGCCATATGGTGTTTGGAACGGAAAATGCATACATCCCAGAGTATGGGAAAGCGTGTAGCATGCAGAGTGGTTAGACTGGGTCCTTTCTTACGTCTAGCTAGTCATCCACAGAACAAAATGAGAACAATATGACCACTCCATATTGTGCTTTAAGGAAACTCCAAAATCCTTACCTAGTAAGCATAATGTATGCATGCCGTTTTGTCTATTCTTCTTCACTTTGTCAAAGAAGCTTTCTGGTCTCCAAGTGTCTGTCCAAAAAACAATAGAAATCGTCTCTCCAAACTTATACAACTAGAAAAAATAAAAACATCAATTAATAATGGAACAATTCACTACTTACTATTTTAAAGATAATAAACAAAACAAAAAGTGAGAACCAGACCCGAGATGGGTTGGGGATCAAATCTGTCACCACAGTAGTAAATGTTCTCTTTGGTCCACACAGCAGCGGTGTCTGATGCCCTTTCAAGTCCTTTACATGGCCAGGACTTCCAATTTACCTACCAATGAGCTTTATTCCCAAAGTCCACTTGGAAACTGTCTAAAAAGTCTATGGAAGTCCTGCCATCCAGTGGCAGTCAAATTCTCAGATCGGTGTAGAAAGACCCATTAACTCCAAGAATTCAGTCATCAATCTTCTTGCCACATATAATGTTTCTCTGTGAAAAATTCATCTACCTGATGAGTTCCAATGTGTTCCAATGTGTTATTCCTGGAATACTTTCACCCAAGCTACAAGGAATAGGCCTAGCCCTGCTGGAAGGTTCTGCTATTGTTATTATTCTGAGAGGCAAAATCATCTAAAAAATGTTTATTACAGATCATCCACTATATGCCAGACGTTACGCTCTGCATAGGTATAAAAGTGATAATCAAACCTGAGCTGTGGCCTTCATGGAGAATGTAGTCTTGCTCATACCTCACAGAGCAGGCAAAAGCTCTGGAGCCATGGCTCTGGTTCTTCCTAGCTGGGTGATCATGGACAAGTAACCTTCCTGACTTTAAAAAGAAACTCCCCTGTAAGATGTGTATAACTATAAACCTAATAATGTGTTGTTTTTTTTTAAGGATTAAATGACATAAAGTGTGTAGAGTGCTTAGTGCATTGCAGATAGTAGAAACAATAAATATTAGGAACATGATGATATAAAAACAATGATGTTTATAATGATGATCTGAAAATGTTCTAAAATGCTGTGTCTTGCTATAATCCAACCGTTTTTCCTATTGGAGTAAGCTCAAAAATATTGCCAAATATTTGAAATAACACAGTTGATGATGTTTATTGTTGTTGTATGCTTTAATTCAGATAAATTTTTTACAAAAACAGTTTACATTCTATAAAGGATTTTTGGCATCTTTGATCAGATTTTGAAATATTAGTATTACTCTGTAAAAAAGAAAATTGTCGAGGTTAAAGAAACATACACTTTAGGTCTTCAATATTTTAAGAGTTATGGAAATATATATACTCATGAAGGTATAGTGTTCATTCAGAAAGAAAGGGATAGATGATTTAAGAGAGAATTGTGATGCTAGTCACATATAAACACTAGCTGCAGCATGCTGTGGAAAAGCTTCTTGGACTTGTCTAATTTGGGGGATTAAAGAAAACCTCACATAAGCACTGCTTTCTAGGACCCTGATTTATAGACTGTAACCATTCCCATGGCAGTGCCGCAAACTTCTTCAACGAATTCTGGTACATTATGCAAACAGTTGCACCATTTAAGATGTCAGTCCCTCAAAGAACAGAAAGATCAGTCCTTTGTGTTTCACAATCCAAGGACTTACCAGTAAACCATAAAATAAATTGGAGTAAAATCATACTGTCACAAGAATGAGGCTGCAAAAGTCTAAGCACTGTCTTATAAATGTTAGCCTTTGTGCTGTGATCATTTTCCCCAAAAATGTTATTAATGCAAATCTAAATTTAGAGACCACAAAAAGAGCTGTTTTTTTAAGAACAGTAGATAAATACAGGTCTTTTTTAGTTTTAACCTGAAGTTATAAAGAAAGCAGTATTTATCTAACAATATTGGATTATGTTTTCATCTATTGAAGATAAAAACTCAAAAATGAACCACTTAATTATATATTAGGCAATATTTAAAGCAAGAAGATGCACAAGAAAGACAAATATTAGGTAGCAAATAATAATTATAAAAAAAAAAGAGATACAGGCTGTATTGAAAGAGTTGAGCATTATCCCCACTTGGAAAGCACCAAAAGATGACATCTGAAGTCAGAATATAAACTTGATCTTAAAGGGGAGACAGGATGGGGGAAGTTGATCATGGGGAAATTACAAGACGGTATGAACAACCTAAGGGAGGTGGGAACCCTTGGGCAATCCTTAGCATGGCATTAAGCAATTATCTTGCCTGACTGGCCTTTAACAAGTATCCAATTCCTGACAGCTTACCATGTGACAATTCCTGTCAATGCCAGCTCTATAATTTATCTAGAACTGACCTCATTTCTTTCACCACCACCTTAGTTTGAGTCTTCAATGCCACTTGCCCGGCACTTAACTATTTTCTAATTCATCTCACTGCCACCAATATTTCCTTCTTTTCAGAAGCTGTTTCATAAAATCCATTTTTAATTAGGTTTTAATGCTTTGTCATTTTATATTCAGATGAAAAACAGTTGGTGATTTTTAAGTTAAAAAACATCTTCTTGGGGCACCTGGGTGTCTCAGTTGGTTAAGTGTCAGACTCTTGATTTTGGCTCAGGCCATGATCTCAGTTCTGCCCTCGGTGGGGAGTCAGCCTGAGGATTCTAACCCTCTCCCTGTACCCCTCTTCCTGCTCGTGCTCTTTCTAAAATAAATCTTTAAAAAAAAATTTCTTTACATATAGAAAATCAGAAAATTTAACTTGCTAATAACTTTGTGAAGCTCCACAAAGGTACATATAAATATAAATCCTAAGTCAGATCAGTTAAATCTGTGAAGTAAAAAGAAAGCTGACCCAGCAGAGTCGTCAAAAAACATACCACAAAAACCACATATTAAAGAGTTACCAATTTTCTATACAGAATATTGGCCTTGGAATTTTTTTTTTAATTCCCACAAACATTTTTCTTAACACTGATGAAACACTGATTTTGCTGACACTAAGAAAGATTATGCACATGGTCACATACTAGGTACATAGATAAAGTTGAAGACAAAAGAGCCACAAAATTTATATGATCATGTATGAATGAATTCAGATACTAATTAAATGGAAGAGTTTTAAATTAAAGTTCATAATTCCAAAGATATATCAGCTTGGAGTGGGGAGGGAAAGATAAGTAAATAAACAATTCAACTCAGCAAATATTTGTTGTATATTGATTATATGCATGGCACTGTGACAAAGTACAATGGAAGATGTGAAGATGAGTAAACCAAGAAGTTTATAATATGCCCAACACATAAACATATACAAATAATTGAATATTCTACACAGGATGAGGATTTACCAGGATTGTTGAAGTAGAAGAATGGTACAATCGCATCTGCAACTTAAAAAGAAAACTATTGGAATCCCTGGGTGGCGCAGCGGTTTGGCGCCTGCCTTTGGCCCAGGGCGCAATCCTGGAGACCCGGGATCGAATCCCACATCGGGCTCCCGGTGCATGGAGCCTGCTTCTCCCTCTGCCTGTGTCTCTGCCTCTCTCTCTCTCTGTGTGACTATCATAAATAAAAAAAAAAAACAAAAAAACAAAAAAACAAAACTATTATGTGGGAGAGAATGATGATAAGGTGGCTATTAAAATATTGACTACAAAGTTACAGTTGAGGGTCTCCTGGGTGGTTAAGTTAATTAAGTGTCTGACTTGGGCTCAGGTCAAGCTCTCAGGGTCCTGGGATTGAGCCCTGCCTTAGGCTCCCTGGGGAGCTCAGCAGGGAGTCTGCTGTCCCTCTCCCTCTGCCCCTCCCTCTGCTCTCTCTTTCAAATAAATAAAATTGTAAAACAAAACAAAACAAAAAGTTATAGTGGAAATGGAAAGGAAAGAAAAAACATTTTTAATGTGTCCATGATTCAGCAGGTGGTCAAAATAATTCCAAAGTGACTAAACAATAGGGAGCTTACTTAGAGGAGTTCTTCTAAGTTTACACAGAGAGCACAGATCTCCTTATTACCTAGTTTAGTGTTCTCTGTACTAGGTTAGACTTTATCATTTCTACATTAGTTCCTGGACAACACTGAAATCAATTCAATGCTTTTTGAAAACTACCAGTAAGAACTACTATAAGGTCAAAACAATGCTGTTTATTATAATGAGTGTTGTATTATGAAAAAAAAGGAAGGAAATGAGTTGTTACTTTTTAAAAGTAATATATATTTTTTTCCAAAGTAGAAATGTATTATATAAACAGAACATATGGCAATAATTAGGGTCACTCACGCAACAGAGAAAGTGGAGGCATTTCATAATGATGAAAAAATTATACAACCTTTTCCCTGAAGTCAGCCGCAACTGATAATGCAGTTGTATGCAGAAATCATTGCTATCTGGTTTCACTGAACTGTCTCATTTATCTGTCCTTTAAAATGTCTCAAAACCATTTTAGTCACCAATTTTTTTAAAAAAGAATCTGTTCTATTACACAAATGTAAATAATACCACACAAAGAAAATATGCTAGAATTTGTAATTTCTTCTTTATTCAGCTTGTCACCTTCGGGTCAATATATACAGATAAGAGTTGAAGACTAAAGGAAAATATACCAAACTAGCAGCTAATTATGGTTATATCTGGGTAGTGAGACTACATATATGTGCATGTTCTTTATACTTACTGTATTTTACCAATTTTATATGAATATATATGTCACTTATTATCAAAGAAAATAAAGTTATTTTTTAAAAACAATTCTTCTAGGGTGCCTGGGTAGTTGTCAGTTAAGCTTCTGCCTTTTGCTCAGGTCATGATCCCAGGGTCCTGGAATTAAGTCCCACATCGGGCTCCACATTCAGCAGGGAGTCTGCTTCTTCCTCTCCCTCTGCCCCTCCCCACTGCTCGTACACTCTCTCTCCCTCTCTCAAACAAATAAATAAAATCCTTAAAACAAAATAAAGCAAAAAAACCCACAAAAAGCAAAAACAATTCTTCCTAAGTAGAAACAATGGTAAATGAAAGCAATCTTGATTCTGCATGATTAAGGTACTAAATGCTTAACTTGAAAAATTCAAGAAAAAGACTGTTCTTTTTGCCTTTTGTGTATTGACAAAAAACAAAAAACAAAAAACAAACAAACAAAAAAAACACCCGATTTTTTGTTATTGGGAATGTCG